AGCGAAAGGTGCAAGCTTTGAGGCATGAAAGACTGGGTGAGTGCGTAGGTGTCAAGGGACACGAATGACATATGTGGGGCCATCCATCTCATCTCCCACTATATCCAGGACTTCCCAGGGACCAAAGTACTAAGGCATTAGTTTGCAAGAGATTCCGAACTCCTATCGTAACTCGCTAGCCTTGACCCAGACACGTTCCCCTACCTGAAATGTGGACTGTCTACGGTGTTGATTCTCAGAAGCAATCATTGCTTGTTGAGCTTTCTTCATGTGCTCGACAGCTTCTTGCAGCAACTTCTCATACTGCACACCATACTCAAGTGTGCCTGGAGTTGCAGCGGGTCGGTTTTCAGGTAGGAGGAAGTCTAATGCTGATCTAGGCTTCCATCCCAAGTGAAGTTGATGGGGACTAACGCCGGTACTGCTGTGGACAGCATTGTTGTACAGGCTGGCGATGAGAGGCAACTGCTCATCCCAATCATCCTGGTTGGGCTTGATGTAATGCCTTAGCAAGTGTTGTACAACTCTGTGCATTTGCTCGGCTTGTCCGTTGGCTTTGGGATGATTCCCTGAAGTTATCTGAAGTTGATTGCCCATCTGTTCTGCAGTCTTCTTCCACAACTCACTTGTGAATCGAACATCTTGGTCACTAACGATTGACTTTGGTACCCCAAAGTCACGCACCCAGTTGTCTTTGAACAACTTGATGACATAGTCAGTTCTTGCGGTCTCTGGCATAGCCACTAGTCTAGCGTACTTGGCGAATCGATCGATGATGACGAAGATATGCCTCTTGCCACTCTTACTAGTCACCAGGGTGTCCATGAAATCCATGGAAACACTCTGTCCTGGACCAGCAGGAATAGGCAAAGGCTTCAACAACCCAAGCGGTGCTTGAGTTCGCGGCTTGTCCCACTGACAAACCTGACAGGTCTCTACGTACTTCTTTGCGTCATCTAACATTCCTGGCCACCAAAATCGCTGTACTAGGTTAGCACTCGTCTTCTTGTAGCCGAAGTGTCCCGTTGCGTCATGGCATTCTCCTAAGAACAAACTACGCAAAGGTTCACTAGATGGAACTACTAATCTTTTTATTCCGGCCTTATCAAGATAGAGGAGCCCGTCCACCATCACAAACTCACTTTGCGTGGCCTTGTCTTTTGCCTGAAGTTTGCGAATGATGTCCATCATGACAGGGTCTTCCTGATAGGCTCCCACCAACGATTGGGTTACTTCATCAGATACGCCAAAGTCAGAAACTAGCGCACCTAGGTAGTCTGCTCTACGTGATAGCGCATCAGCAACCTTATTATACTCTCCCTTCAGATACTCAAGCTTGAAGTCATACTGGTGTATGACCTCAATCCATCGCTAGAAAGAGCCGGTTGAGTCTTGATCCATTTGAGGGTCTGATGATTAGTCCTCAAGTAGAAGAACCTTCCTGATAGGAAGTGTCTCCAATGGACAAGTGCTCTATATAGAGCATAGAGTTCCCTTTCATAGGTGGACTTTGCCAACTTCTTTGATGGCATCTTCTTGCTCATATACTCAATCGGTCTCAACTTTTTCCCATCCTGTTGAGCCAGCACTGCGCCAATGCCGTATTGGCTTGCGTCAGTGGTCACTATGAATGGCTTCTGAGGATCGGGAACTCATGACTCATGAGTGCATGCTTCAATCTCTTGAAAGCACCCTCGCACTCATCACTCCAGTCGCACGGCGTGTCAAGTCGAGTTAAATCAGTCAAAGGAGAGGCGACTGTAGAATAGTTCTTTACGAAGTTCCTATAGTAGCCGCACATTCCTAAGAAAGATCTGACCTCAGTGACAGTCTGAGGTCGTGGCCAGTCTCGAATACTAGCCACCTTCGCATCCTCCGGCCTAATCCCTTCYGCGGATACTKCATGACCCAAGTATAGTATCTTAGTGCGACCGAACTCACACTTCTCTAAGTTGA